TGTCGTTTTTAATCAAAACGATGCCGTTTTTGCAACCATGTGCACCATGCATGGTGCACACGATTGCACGACATAATTTGCGTGGGTGTATAGTGTAGATCTAACAATTCGTGTATACTAAGTTTGTTTACGGGTCGACATAATAAAGACATGAACATTATAAGGCTAAAGACATACGCGACACGTTAAGGGTTGAAATTCTTAATACGAATATGAACACGATTTGCGAACCGATTATACGGATTGATACGATATACATGTTTTGTTAACAGGTTTTATATCATGTTCATACGATATTGCACGAAATCAGTTTAAAATCGCTAAACACACATACACATATTTATTTATTTTTTTTGAAAAAAAAAAAAAAACAAAATTTGAAGTAAAATTATAAAAATAAATAAATAAAGAAATAAAGCCTACCATTCAATTCATTAAACAAAAAACTAAATAAATATTCAATTCATAACATTCAATTAACATATTATGTGTCTATAAATAAATTGAAGACACATAATATGTTAATTACATGTGTCTAGATTATAAATTAATTTTCTATTAAGTAATTTTTGGGTGTGTTTGGTTCATGGGTTTATAGACTATGAATAAGAATAAAAATCATAGTGTTTGGTTGACAACCTTTTAAAATACAACTATGAAATTTGATTATCCATCAATTAAAAATCTCATCCCCTAATTTAAAAGAGGTACCATTCCATCTTATTAGTAATTTATTTAATTTTTAAGTTTAGATTAGTACTTTTAGATTTTTGTTTTGATTTTTTTTTTTGTTCATATCGATGCTTTGGATGTCATTATATTAAGATCAATTATTTTGATTTTTTTTTTTTGTTTTTAACATTGATTCCAGTTCCACCCTATTACCAATTACCAAACATGCAAAATACATTTACTAAAACTCATTACCATTTACTAAGTATTTGATTTACATACCGATTCCAATTCTCATGTGCGAACCAAACACACCCTTATTTTATTAGTATATAAATTATGGAAACTTATAACAAATATTTTATCATAGTTTGTATTTAATTTTTGTGTATTTTAAAATATGTTATGAAATAGATTAAAGATAGAATGTTTTAATATATTGTTTCATATTATCTATTTGTTGTAATCTTATCAATTCATTAGGTATTTTAAATAGAAACATACTTTCATTTTATATTATATAACAATAACAATGGGGTCTTAAGTTATAAACAAGTTTATACTTACCATAAAACAAAATTCTGAACTTTAACTTGTTTAATACCTAATAGGATATATTGTTTCTTACTTTCTTATGCATACTATAATTCTACATTAAAATTTCATAATACAATACAATTCCTAATTGAAAAATTATAAAAATACTCCGATAGTATAACTCAAGCTCGTGTCGCCGCCCAGAAGTATCGTTGCTCACTTGCTCGTCCTCTACCTCTCGGGTCTGGTTTCCGGGTTTCGACACTCAGGTAATAAAACTTCTGTCTTTAATCAGCTTATGTGGCTACTGAATTTTGTTCTGGCTACTGAATTTTGTTCTTTTATGTTAGGGTTTCTAAAAAATCATGTTTTTAATCTGACTTGATTGATATGAAACTTGGATTTTTATTATTCGTTAACATTTTTTGTAACCTTTTTGGATTATTTTGAAGATATGATGTCTAAAAATGTCTCATTAGTATAATTCTTTGTAACATTTTTTGTCCATTTTTTAATCTCTTGAATGTTTTGTATGGATCCTTTCATAGAAAAAGTAGAGAGAGGGTAGGGAGACAGAATTGAGAGATTATAGAGACATAATAGAGAGAAAGAATATGGTAAGGAAAGATAATTCCTTTACAGCGCGTTTGGTTGGAGGGATTTTAAATTCCCCTCCACTTAATTCCTACTTAATTCCGAAGGCCATTAAATTTCGTAGTTTGGTTGGAGGGAATTACAATTCCATGGAATTGCAATTCCCTCATTTTCATGAAATTAAAATCCCATGTCCCCCCTTGGAATTTTAATTCCTGGAAAAAAAAGATAGTGATGAGACAAAATTACCCATTCCTTTTTTAACCTAAAATTAATGTCTAACAATAATAATGGACATTTTTGACTTTATACTACTTATTCCCTTTCAATTCCCATGTATACCAAACATTGGAATTGAAATTCCCAGTAATTCTATTCCTATCAACCAAACACTGGAATTTAAATTCCCACTTTATTCCCAGTAATTCAACTCCCATGGAATTACAATTCCTTTCCCACATAATTCCCACCCTCCAACCAAACGCCCTGTTATAGTCTAATTGATCCTTTTGTTTGTACAACATGAGTACTTGACTGTCTATACTAAATTACTAATGCAGCTTATAACTAAGCTACCAAAATTATACTAACAAAATAAGGTAATGATATCATAACTCCCTCTTGATTTGATTCTCTATAATCAGCTTTTATCATGGCGTATCAGTTGTGCACGGGATACTTGCAATAGTTATGTTGTGCATCCGTATGCACCATGCAACGACGTCGTTTTATTAAAAAACGCGCGTCTCCCCTTAAAAAAATTCAGGTTCGATTCCCAACAACAACATTATATTGTTCATTCATTCTGGAATTTTAGTTCAATAGATTATGGAATTATAGTTCATTGATTATGGAATTATAGTTCATCGATTATGGAATTGTAGTTCATCGATTCTGAAATTTTAGTTTATAGATTATGGAATTTTAGTTCATTCATTTTGAAATTTTTAGTTCATAGATTAGATTATGGAATTATAGTTCATCGATTATGGAATTATAGTTCATTGATTATGAAATTTTAGTTCATATGTTGTTGCTGGGAATCGAACTTGATTTTTTTTTTTTTAAGGGGAGACGCGCGTTTTATTAAAACGACGTAGTTTTTGCATCCGTATGCACCATGCATGGTGCATACGGATGCACAGCATAATTTGCCCGATAGTTGATTGAAAATGGCAATAACAAGAATAATGCTTTTATGCTAGCAATAGTAGTGATGGTGGAGAAGATGATGTTTTTAGACAAATCTGATTATAGCACTAACAGTATCAGTAATGTTGATCACAGACCACTCAACCTTAGACCCCCTCAAAACGCTCATTGAAGCTATTTGAGATTGCTCTTCGAGATTTCAAGACACAGCTAGATGAAGATCCCATTGTCCACAGACACCTTTCTTCCCCTATGACACTTTGTTGGAGCAAAATCTTTGCAGGTTGATTGAGCCTTTCTCGAAGGTTGAAATCCGTCATACTGCTGAGTTGATTGAGTTGCCCGCTGACCATGTTGAGAAGAAGCTATCCCAGATGATTCTGGATAAGAAGTTGCTGGATTGCAGCATTGTGGGCTGGTTTTGGAAATTTCAAACACCCAAAAACACGCGGTGTGGATCAAGTTGCACCTTTTCAACCGCCTCATAATCACTTTATCCAGAATTTTTAAATTGCCAAGTGATAAAATATTGAATCTTGGAAAACATTTTCTTATCAATGCCAGAAGCTGTATCAGAAAGAGATAATGACTTGACACTCATCCTTTTTGCAGAGGTGGCCAAAAAATTCTGACTCTCACATGCTATGTATGACTGCATATATAACATAGTATAAATCTTCAAACATGTGAACCTAATAACTTTATCAGATAGATTATCAGATCACAGATATGAATAGCCATTTCGCCAGTGATTCTACAAACTTTAGAGATATGGTCAAATCTGATCTCCTTCTATAAATAGAAAGTGCTACTATTCTACCAAACATGTATATATATCTTGCTATTGCCTTGGCAACTCGAATTCATTGTGATGATGCCTCATCTTAGGTCTGGCATGTGATTATGGAGGTGTGAGGTGTAGCCAAGGATGACTTGCCGAAAGAAATTAAGGGATTTCATGTCATTTCTTCATTATCTGGATGAGATTAGAGGAGAATTGGCTTTGAGTCGAGGTCATCCTATAACCTTAGCTTAGTAGTTGTTAATTTGTGATTCGGCAAGTTGTCATTGGTTACATTTCAACCTTGTATTTGCATGTTGGATTTCTGATGTCTATATTTCAACGAGTTTCACGAATGAATTACAAGTGATCTCCTGTGATATGGTAAGCACTTTGCTTAAGTATTTTCTTTAAAAAAAATTATTCAATTCTGTTTACATGAACTTCATTTTCCTAAACATTTAATTTAATGATTAATAACATAATTAACTAAGGCAGGTCGATTTCTCTTTTGTATTTTATTATTTTATTTTATTTTTATTGTTGAATTTCTTGTATCATAGCTAGAGTGGGTGTTCTACATCAATTATATCTGTAGGGAAGTCGTCAATGCGTGTGTGCTTTGAATTATATTGGATGAACTCTTCATAGGTTTATTCTCAGTTTCCTCAAAGGTGTTAACCCTAAATCTATGTAATCTTTTGGAGTTTACTGTTTTTCTCATGTATTAAAAAAAATTATAATCATTGATTACATGCTTTATAGTTTATAATATCTAAAGGGATAATAATTAATGAATCATTAAATTTTATGCTTTTATTATTGTTCTTTCTGTTTGTATTTTTTTTTTTTTTTTTTGCGACAAAAGTTACACATGACTGAAAAATCCTAACTTTGAGTGTTCACGAGCTCCAATTTCAAACTGTATTATCAGTAGAGACCAAACCCAACCTTGTGATTCTCAACTTTGTTAAGTTTTACCTTACTTGGACCTTTGCACTACCGAGCTATGGCTGAGATCATTAATATGTGTGATTTTTGACCCCCCGCCCCGCAATGGTTTTTATTAGCACTTGTAGCGCACCTTGCCTTTGGAGTAATAGCCTTTTTTTTTTTTTTTTTTTTTTTGGGTCCTCCCATCTTCTATTTTCTATTCACACTTGCAAAAACTCTTAAAAAATCACAACAATTCGAAATGCTCTAATAAAATACTGAATTTCTAGATTTAAAATATGGAAAATAAGCACGTATGTGGATTTTGACAAAGACCAAATATTGAAATAGTACATTAAAAATATGAAAAATTTTACAATGTGTAAACACACTTCCATTATTATCTCATTACCTAATCCATTATTGCAACTAAACCTTCACCTAACTGTATGTAGCCCTGCCCTGTCCTGGCATGGTTTTGTGTTGGAGTTGGAAGGCGCAACATTTCATGTTTCCGTTACTATAAAATAAATAAAATGTAGTATGGAGATGATAGAGCAGGTAAGACGATTAAGAATATGCAGGAATAATATTATATATAATGCGCGCAAAACCTAATCTCCTCACCCGAATCACTTCCTATTCGCGATTAATCTATCATAGGATAATCGAAGCGCGATTTAGTATAAATTCTGGAATCGCGAATGCCAGGAACATGTGCATTGCAGTTGCAGATACAGATAGAGAAAGAAAAAGTTTGATTACAGATCAGAGTTAAGAAAGGCAGCTAGGCAATTAGTCGAAGATGATGAAGGCAGGTAGCGCACTGGAAGCCGGAGAAGCATCGAAGGTAGCAGCAGCGGCAAGGGGAGGAGGAATCAGAGGAATCAATGTGTTTGATCTCATTCTGCGCATTGCTGCCATTGTCGGAACCTTGGCCGCCGCCGCCGCCATGGGAACAACCAGCCAAGAGCTCCCGTTTGTCACACAGTTCGTGCGCTTTGAAGCTCAGTACGACGATATTGATACTTTCAGGTAACGTACTAACTAACTCATCAAATAATTCCTCTATTTTGTCCTCTATGCTGCTTTAGAATGATATTGGTCGATAGTTGGATTACACATTTATATTTATATATTATATATGGTCTCACTAAACTTATGTTTTGGTTTGTGACAAAATGAAAGGATGTTCGTGATACTGAGCGCAGTTGTTTGTGTGTACCTTGTATTCTCCCTCCCGCTATCCATCATCCACATTATGAGGAGAAGAGCTGGAAAGAGCAGAATCGTGCTCATATTTTTGGACACGGTAAAACATATATATATATATATATATATATATATATATATAATATTTATAATAAATGTATATATGTTGAATCTCACTCTTACTCATAATATATATTTGCATATTGAAGGTGATGCTGGGGGCTCTGACCGGCGCGGCATCGGCGGCGGCGGCCATGGTTTACTTGGCACATTATGGGAATTCATCCACAAACTGGTTCTCAATATGCCAACAGTATCCAGATTTCTGCCAGAGCTCTTCCGGCTCCTTAATTGGAGCCTTCGGAGCCGTCGTCGCCCTCCTTCTTCTTGTGCTTTTATCCGCCATAGCTCTAGCCAGGAGCCATTAATTAATTATTACTACTCCCATCCAAAAATGGCAATCAATATATTGCATTGTATTGTGTGCTTAGCTTCCATCTTATGCTATGCTACTTGTGTGTATTCTGGAAATTAATACTTTGTTTATGGTACTAAAAACAAGTGTTACATCCAAAGCATTTACACCTTTTTTTTTTTTTTCTTGAGTGACGAGGGAAATCATCAGCCACTATTGATACATATACCATGAATTATATTATGCTAGAAGTGCGACGAGATCATCAATTGATTTCAGGGTCTTCTTGTAATACACCATGGACTCGAACACTTTTGGGGTTCTAACGTAAAAATCAAACTGAAAAATTAAACAGGAATTACTGGCCTGGGTTAATAATTAAACTGCGCTGCAATGAATTAAATTGGTGAAAATTAAGTTGATAAAAATAAAGATTAATTACTTACCTCGTTAATGTTATCGACAAGTTGATTGGCTGTGTCAACGTAGGAGGCTTGTCTGGTCTGAGGCACCATGTACATTGCAGTCTTCATGTCCTGGGAAAGATACGCGGATTTCTGTCGCAAATAGAACAAAACATATTTCCACGACATCTTCTCCAGCATGGTTTCAATGCCGTGAAGTCCCTCGGCGGTCTGGCGAATCCTGGCCACGGCGTCTTCCGGCGACAACCCCGGCTCGAAGAATCTCTCCCTCAGAAACGACCGGGTTCCCCAGTTCTGGGCGAATGCCAGTGGGGTGAAATTAAGGCCTAGTGTCAGGGAAGTGGCTAGAAGAGTAGTCACCAGATTTCGTCGACTTTGAATTTGATGATTTTGTTCGGGCAGTTTGGCTTGGGTTTTGGGGAGTGATGATGAGCGGCATTGGCGAGGAGGATTATGGGTTTTGTTAATGGAGATTTGGGGGTGGAAGGGAATTGTGGAGCTTGTGAGGGTAGTGGCCATGGTTGTGTAGATGAGGATCGGAGGAAGTAGAACAGGTGGTTGTGATTTGTGAAAGAAAATGGTAACATTTTTTGAGTTTTGATTGGATGGGGTTTTTTTTTTTTTTTTTTTTTTAAAGAAAAAATGGACCTTTGGTTTTGGTGACTTGGCAATATATGCATTATCCTCTTTGGTTTGGATGGGAATTGAAGTTCACTTGTTATCAAGTGTGCGGTGTTCATATGGTAGTCATTCAATTCATATTGGCCCTGTTTGGTAAATGGATGTTAACTTATAACTGTTAACTGTGTAGCTGATTGAGTTAATTAGATGATATAACTAGGTTGATAACATTAGCTGATTGTAAAAATATGTTTGGTAAATTAGTTGGTAGCTGATAGCTGTTTAGTATATTTTTTTCTCAAAAAGTTAATTGGAAAAGTTACTTTGAGTAACTTTTTGAATTAGCATTTTGGAGTACAAAAGCTAATTAACCAAATACTTGTATTGATTTTTAAACCAAGTAAAAAACAACTAATAGTAGTTAAATAAGTTAAAATTGACCTATCAACTAACTATTTTACCAAACAGGGCTATTAGGTGGTTGAATTCTTTCATAATATGACATTCATGAATGATTTACAAGTGTGTTGTAAAAGTATTTGATGAAATATAATATTAGATAAAAGTTTAGTTTAACAGAATAACAGGTTTAATTCAGTAATATTTACAAGAGTAAATACTAAAATGGTCCTTCGACTATAGCTAAATTCACAAATTGGTCATCGACTTTCAATTTCAACAAATTAAGTCCTTAATTTTGTAATTTTGACACGATTTGATCCTCCATCTATTTGACCATTTGTTGACCGTGATCGACGATCTCCAGAAGAACCTTCAGCTCTCGTCAGAGCACGTAGAGGCCTCCAAGATGACGTTGCACTGGTCCGGAAACACGTCGTCTTCTTCGCTCTGGTACGAACTCAACTACATTGAATCTAAAGGGCGGATGAAGAAAGGCGACCGGATTTGATAGATTGCTTTCGGCAGTGGATTCAAATGTAACAATGCGGTCTGGAAATGCAACCAGAACCTTAAAAAATCGACGATGGACCATGAAATTACATATATATCCTCAAAAATCACAGTCAACAAACGGTCAAATAGACAGAGGACCAAATTGTGTTAAAATTACAAAGTTAAAAACTTAATTGGTTAAAATTGAAAATCAATGACCAATTTGTAAATTTAGCTATAGTCAAGGGACCATTTTGAGTATTTACTCTATTTACAAATTTAGTTTCAGATTGCTGCCTACAACAATCGTAATCAACTAGGTCTATTAGGCAGGTGAGAATTGACAAGTAGCATTGAATGCCAAAGCATAAAGTTGTCATTGTTCATGTTCTTGCCTCTCTCTCCGCCAAGTAAGCAATTAAACCTAAAAATTTGTGAATAAACTCCAAATTCTCCTATGATAATGTTGCTCTGATAAAGCATTTTTTTCTATGATAAAGCATTGTTTTAAAAAAAAAATCTACCAATGGTTTATGACTTTCACATTAACAATATTTTTCACTTTCACATTTACCAAGAGTTATTAATTTTCATTTACCTACACACCAAACTTTTCTTGGCCAACAGTATCCAACAATTAAATATGATTTTCCCAAAATTTGTGAAGAAATCCAATGGATGCACCTCCACACATACATTAGCTGTATCACAGGAAAAACAAAAGAAACTAAGACTTTACTTGATTTAAAACAAATCCAAAACAAATAATAATGAAGCAAATCAGTACGTACAATAAACATAAATATTTTGAATACAGATCAAACACAAAACAACAAAAAAAACTACACACCTCCGACATGGTTTTACTGTGCGTGAAACGCGAACAGCAGTTCATGTTCTTGCCTCTCTCTCCGCCAAGTAAGCAATCAAACCTAAAAATTCATGAATAAACTCCAAATTCTCCTATGATAATGTTGGTCTGATAAAGCTTTTTTTTTTTTTTTTTTTTTTTTGCTATGATAAAGCATTTTTTTTTTGCTCTGATAAAGCATTGTTTTCAACAAAATCTACTAATGTTTATGACTTTCACATTGGCAATATTTTTCAGTTTTACATTACCAAAAGTTATTAATTTCCATCTACCCACACACTTCAGAATCATAAACACAAATACTCATCTACTCACACACTTCAGAATCATAAAAACACTTCATAATACACACTTACCAATATTTATTTTATTTGTTGTCTTTAATTTCAGTCATTTTATGTGTTTAATGTTATATGTTTATTTTATTAGTTCGTTTGTAGTTTATTTTTTCATTCTTCCCATAATTTATTATTCCATTAATTGAACAAGTGCAAGCATATACGGAAAAAGAAAATCGGGCATCAAATTCAGACTTGGAGAAGGGAATGTATATTGATTATCTGGAAACGATGAAGATACAGAAGATATATAAAAGACGAGTTGGCGCCTAAGCCGTTACAACAGAGTTTTGATATAAAAGACCAAGCTACCCCTCTGGTTATTTCGCATGTTTCCCGTAAGTATATCGTCTAATAACCTTGTGTAATTAAATATTTAAATGATATGTTATAAACTTCCAATTCAATTAATTATTAAACATTTAAATTGTCAATAATAATATGCAGTACAATTGTTATTTTATATTTATTCCGAGTATGAGTATGTGTAATAAATCACATACTCGAATTATTATTAAGATATTAGTCAACACTAACGTTCTATCCCTCCAAGAAGATAAAGTTGCAATTAAATTAAATTTCTTATACATGATGTGTAGTTGATATAAACTTTAAAGAGTTTCTCAATTCTTTTCATTTAATTCGAAGATTACTATAATATTATGAGGAGCAAACCCGATTGATGGTAGCAGTGTTATACTATATTTGGAGGACCCAAAATTCAGCTGTTTGGAAGGGGTCTATGATGCGGCCTACAGAAATTGGCAGAGTAGCAGCCACAGCGCTACAAGCATACGGTGCGGCCCAGATCTGTCACACCCGGCCGGTAACGGCGTCGGCACCACCCGCCGAGCCGGATGGCGGTGGTCCACGGTGTTACGTGGATGCGGGCTTCCGTCACGACACGTGCGAGGCTACGTACGGTATATTACTAGTAGCGCAGGACGGCTCATTTGTAGCAGTAAAAAATGACAAATTACCTGTTTGTTTCTCACCACTTATGGCGGGGGCGCGGGCGTATAAGGAGGCACTGTCTTGGCTGCTTGAACGGAACAAACATCAGTAAGTTTACTCACGGATTGCATGGTATTGACTACAACTATGGGGCACCATGACACACACCCTCCTGACGCTATTGCGGCTTTGATTCATTAATACAATCGCAAGATTGACTTTCAAAAAAATATAAAGTTAAATAGGTTGACTTAAGTTTTAAATTTGAAATCGTTACAAACACTTTAAAGTTCTCTATAATACACTTAAATATCGAATTGGAGTTGAAATTTTTGTCTTTACCGTTGACTTCACTGATCCATATTAATTAATTAAAAGTGTTCCGTATTAAGGACTTAATAGATGGGAAGTTTCCTTTGTTCAAGTAGCTAGAGAGAAAGTTTAATAGTATGGGACATGAGGGATGGATTTTGACTATTTATATACTAGAAAAGAAAAAATCTATAACTATATAATTGTAATTTGATAGATTTTAAAAATTAATAATTTTTTGAGTACTAATAAAATTTTAAAGACTTTCTATAAATCAAAATCGAATGCCAACAGACTTTTAAAAATTCTTCAAAAGTCTGAATTAAGTACCAATTCAATGAACTCTCAAAGACTCAAAATTTAAATTAAATGCCATCAAACTTTAAAAGCCTTTAACGATTCATAAAAATTCAGATTAAATACACCCTCTGAATAATTTATATCCACTTAACTCCAAATTGTTCATTTGAATTAGTAGAGAGTTCACATCTCAAAATTCTTGGAAGCAAATTCAAAGTTTTGGTTCTTCGATCAATTCATTTTGCATGCTTAGCACACCATCGATCTACATCAAAGATTCCTCTCTTAGAATTACTTTCATACAACTTGTTCAACAGTCGCTAATGTAGTAAAAGGAAGCATATACTATTATTCTGAAAAAAAAAAAAAAAAAAAAAAAAAAAAAAAAAAAAAAAAAAAACCTAAACCTTACCATTGAAGAAAAGTGGCCAAAAAAGAACAAATTTAAAGAAGGGTCAGCTAAAGAAGAATTTAAATCCGTCAGTGGCAAGTTTTTGCATTGACACATAATTCGTCCACATCCCTTTACTTTTTGGGACTAATAATTTGTGAATATCAAGGTTCTGGAATGACTATTACTTATATTCCTTCTATTTGTATTCATAAAATGATTATTTGGTTCATGAGAATATGAAACTTTCTTTAGTGATGCGATATCTCAAGGATGATTTTTAGTTCATTTTTAATCATATTAAATATTTCTGAGAATTTTATTCTGACTTAAATTTTAAGTAATAATGTGAAATTTTTTGAATACATCATGTTATTGCCTAAAAATATTTCAACTTGCTAAGGGCAAAGTGCCCCGACTTGGGTACGAATGAACAATTTTTTTATGCCACTTTCACGATAACAATTAATTATGTGTGTTACTTTTACTGCGTAATAAAGATTGACTCAGCCCGCACGGGCTAAGCTCAGTGATTCAGTAGACAGTATTTGGGGGAAGAGATTAATGTTTGAACTTCGACAGTGACAGTGTGAAGATTATGTCTAAAGTGAATAAATCATTTGTATGCACATACATTTGACCTTGTTTACTAAGCCATTAAGTCGAGTCAGGATTGGAGATTCAATCTTTTTGCAAGAAGAATAAAGATTGACTCATTAAGATCATAATATATAACACTTGATAATTATTATTTCCGTTAAACTATTTATAATACTTGTAAGGGGAATATATGTACATTTCTCCTATAATGAAATAGTTTATGTGACATTACAAGAAGAAAGAAGGAATAAAGATGAGCTACCGAGGTAGTCCATCATATCGTACGTTATGATAGAAAAGAATGAAATGGACAACAAAAAATGTATGGACGGATAAGGATGAGAGTTTACGTAGGTTGTACAATG